TGTTGTTGATGAATTCAAAACAATTATTATTGGTTTTGTTGACACATTACGTTTATTTTTAAAAAAATTTTCAAACCGAAAATCAAAGGGACAATGTACATTACAAACATTAGCTGCAGAACACTTAAAGTATCTGAAAGAATACATGATGCAATGTTTGACATAACTTTATTGGAGAAATTGACCTTACATCATTTTAAAAAAGAAGATCTCATAGATAACATAATATGTATTGATGACATGATGCACACCTCGCAAAAATCGACACAACTTGCAAAAACAATAAAAACTTTAGAATCTCTTAACGGTGTTATTTCAACTGGAATGAAGAAAAGATTAGCTGAAAATAATATTTCTTATGAGTAGGGCTGTGATTTATATGCAATAAAAACAGACAAATATGCACATATATATGTAAATATATTTGGTAAAATATGCAATTAAAAACTGAAAATATGCGAAAACTACCATGAGAAAAAATAAGGAAATCGCAATATACACATAAGTATAAACACAAATAAAAGTAAACAGAGAAACAGTGGCAAGAGGAACATCACATGGCGAATATTAAAAAAGAAAAACGCGTTTAAAAAAAATGTTTATTTAAAAAATTTAACAACGAACATTAAAAAAGAAAAAAACTCCTGACCTATTGGTCCAAAAGGTCGTAATATTTCCATGAATCCAATATTAAACTATTCCAAGAGAACATTTACAGTGGAACAAACACCTTTCTACATTTCCAAGAGAAGCAAAAGCGACCAAAAGTTCGCGAAAAGTGGTGAAGCAGCAACTGAACAAACACAAACTCAGTCTTGGAAACGGAAGAATGGGAGAGAGCCCGTAGCTCTTTTTCGGGGATTTTTTTTCTTTTGCCTGCTCAGAAACATTAAGGTTTGACGTGCCAAGTGCCGATATGCCGGATATGTAAAAAAATATGCAATTACAATCCGCTTATGCAAAAATATGCATTTATAACAATATATGCACAAATATGCAAAATAAAATTAGCTGAAATTGATTCCAATTGTTTCAAAACATATACAGTTTGTTAAAACTGCATGTTTTAGTTAACCAGGAAAAATATGCAAATGCATATATTTCACAGCCCTACTTATGAGTTACTGATAATGACCTACAAAAAGAGCGAAAAAGATGCAATCCAATTATTACAGAAAAGCAAAAATGGAAAACCGCAATTAATTAAAACAAAAAAAATATTAAATAATATTTTGCAGTATTTGAAAACCCAAAGTATTTAGATATTACATATATTGTATGTTATATTATTGTTCACATTATGTATTACATTATTGTTTGTATTATGTGTTGCATTATTATTTAAATAATAAAAACTATTTTATGTTTATTACAACTTTCAAAAATTTATTCTATTATATAAAATAAATAAGAAATTTATATGTATACATATATAAAAACACATTTGTTTTAATTTATTATGAAAAATGTAAATATGTTGAATGGTTTGATACAAATGCATTGATAAAACCGCAATAACAATCGGTCGATTGTTATTGCGGTATAATATGTATAATTCAAGTGATTCATATAATTCAAGTGATCATTACAGAAGGTAGATAAATTATAAACTATTGAAATGTGTTTGTTTTTATTTTATTTATTGTAAATCAATTTGACATAATTCAAATTATATTAGTGCATTTGAGTTAATATATATTTTTAGTTAATATATACATTTTTTATTTTATAAGTCAATACCAGGTAACCCGTAGACAAAATTAGAATAGTATTTTATTTTCCTCTGGATTACAGTTTTAACCTAACACACACACACATCCCTCCATCTCTTATCCAGTCAAAAATATAGCTGATGCAACGTCAAATTAACGTTGAAAACCAAGCGTTGAAATAAAATGTTAGTTTAATTAACACTGATATGGTACAAATCTCGACAAATCTTCAACTCAATCATTTCGACTCAGATGTTTAAAAAAATACAAAAAAGTCAAATTTGGAATTGTTGTAATAGATATATACGCAATAGAAATTATTATAGTTGTAATTAATTAATCCAGTCGCAAATTTCATTACAACATATTTTAAATACAACATACTTCTGAGTGTACAAACATATGTATATGATAAATTATATAATGCCAAAATCAGTCTCATTGTATGATTATCTAATTGAAATTTATCCTTCGAGATCAAGTTTCCATATATAAACTTAATGACAGAATAGTTTATTAATAGTAAATCTCCTAAATAATAGTTTGTTAACATTAAACCTATAAATTTGACAGATCTATAAAATTAATTTGTTAAAAACTATATTTCAATACAATGTTAGTCATAAATAGGAAATTTGAAGGAAAAAAAACAATTATTCTGTCTTGTAGCAATTTGCTTTTTCACATTATTTATTTTTACATAAATCATTCAAATGGAATATAAAATTTTGTTTAAATAAAGTGTATAATTTTTTCGTATATTTTGAAGTTGAAATCTCAATCATATAACTTGTCGCGTGGAATATACGCAATATATTAAATCATGTTGAAAATTGTATTCAGTTCTGTTGCAAAATAACATTGGATATTATGTAAAATACTTCAGATTATGCAAAGTTATGTAATAAGATAATCAAAGACAATATCAATGACTACAATTATCTTTGCGCAGTACAACTTGCACTTTATTTCTATTTTATTATAGTATAAACAATATAAAAAGATGATAAATCTATTTCTTTGCAAAAGATATTTTCATTGCATGCGAAGGTGTAATTTTAAAACCTTGAAGCGCATCCTTTGCCGCACCAGATTGTACTTCATTTTCAAATTCGACAAATGCAATATCATGTCGGTTAGGCACTAACCGTACCTCCTTGAAGCCTGGAAATTGATTAAACAGCATTGATAACATCATTTCACTTGTCTCGTCAGGCAGATTTGTTAGGAACAATATCTGATTAGGTGGCTGCTCAGGAACAGCAGTATTAACAAGTCCTGGATGTTGGGGTACATTGGCATGGTAACCAATTTGTTGCGAATGTTTTGCTTGCTCTTTCGCACGTTTCTTGGCACGTTTAGCTTCCTCATCTGCCACTGGAATCACTCGTTTTGGTTTCTTTGGACGCTCCGCAAAGGTGCCCTTCATTTTGGCAATAATATCGCTGTCAGTTTTAGCATATTGTATTCTCTGCAAAATGGAAGAATTTAAAAAGAGATTATTTTTATGTATCTGTAATATATTTAGATTAATTTACAAATAAATGCTATATAATTATATGTATGCACGCGCGTGTGTGTGTGAATGCACACACACGACATACAGGATATCTTCAATATAAACACAAAAATATAATGTATATACAAAATAACACAAATAAGAATTTTATGTAACACTTACCATTGGTTTGTCATAGAATGGAAAGCCTTGCATCGATCTCAAGGCATTTGTAGCACTCGCAATTTCTTTGAAAATAACAAATGCCTGTCCACGCATCTTTATTGTTTTTAAAGCTACAATATCCAAAATTTGACCAAATTGTGAGAAAATAGCGTATAATGATTTTTTTAATTCTTCCTTCTTGATCTTTTCATTTAAATTATTGATATAAATGGTATTATTTGGACGAATATCCATTTTCACTAAAAATTGAAGTTGGATGTTCTAGTCTCTGTGAATAATGCTTAAGATAAACTTTAACCTTACTTAAATTATGAAAATACGTTGCTAATGCAATAAAATTAATATAGCATAAAATCTTACGTGTTTGAATGTTTCAATTTCCTAAGAGGCAACTCCAAACGATATATATGCTAGGTTAGATCAGGTTACGTTACCCTAAAGATTACGCGTCTGTTAAACCACGCCATAAAGGCTCGTGACCATAAACATACATGTATATAGACACATAGACCTTACATACGTATGATCCTAGTTGGAAAGGTCGTTCGACCGTTTATAATAAGTTTCGGAACACAATCACTGGTCACGTTCAGCAGAACGTTTATTTTGCAACTGTTGAACATTTTCTGTACTGAGATTGGATTACATTTTTAGAACCAGAGGAATAATCCAATCATAGCACAGAAAACTTCCAACAGTTGCAAAAAAACGTTCTGCTGAACGTGACCAATCATAGCCTCTGCTTACAAAAAATATAAGAACGGACTGTGAATACCGGCCTTAGGCTGGATTCACATGGAGCGTAACTTGCGTAAGCGTAACCTGCGTATCACCAATCACAGAACTATTTCAACGAAATTATTGGGCTTGTTTTCTGTTCCTGCACTGGTGAACTAGTGCAGTAAGCTAGAATGAGAAAAAATATACTTGTCTTAAGCCTTGTGTCCACGATCCAAGAACTTGG